GTTTTTTCGATAGACATTTAAATGTTGATGTAAGCATTTCTTGTGGGATGATTCCTGTATTCTAGATTGTTTTAAACAGCTCCACCAAAAAAAATCTATGTTTTTGTCGTTGATCAACTTGAGCAACTCGCTTGGTATTCCATCTGAACCTACAGATTTCTTATTCTTCATGGATTTAAGTGCATGTTCAACCTCCGATTTAGTTATTTCAGGTCCTATGTCTCCACCTTGATAGTCTACAGCTGTGTTTTTTCTCTTTCCAAATCCCACTAGCTCCTTGACTTTTTGGTGTAAGTTAAAGTTGTCATATCGTTTTGTAATTCTTCTATCTCATTACATCTTTCAGAGAAATACGTTTCTTTTGCTTCTGTTATCTTTCTTCTTATTTTACTTTGCAGTTGTTTGTACCAGGTGTTATTTTTGCCTAGTACTTCCTTCTTTCATTCATTAATTTTAATATTTCGTCTGTCATCCAATCTTCTTTTTATCTTTGTTTTTCGTAAGTTCTTTTTTACTGGGTCTTAAAAGTAATGTTTTGATGAGTTGTCATTGTTGTTCTGGGATTTTCTTTATTTTGTTGAGATTCGGAGACATTTCTAAATTTTCATTGATTTCTTGTTTGAGTTTATCTCTGATTTCTTCTGAATTGAGAACATAATAGACATCTTGGACAAACTTGGATGCGAGTCCTTCACGAACTTAGATCTGGCGAGTGGTTTTCACCAAATCGAAATTGCTAAGGAATATATATGCAAAACCGCTTTCAATTTCGAAAATGGCCATTACGAGTATGTGCAGATGCCATTTGGCCTAAAAAACGCTCCAGCTACGTTCCAGAGAGTAATGGATAACGTTTTGAAAGGCCTCCAAGGACAAAATTACTTAGTGTACGTACATGGACGATATCATTGTGTTCAGCACATCACTTCAAGAGCATCTGGTTTATCTTTCAAAAATCTTTCAACGTCTCAGAGAAACTGGATTCAAAATTCAAATGGACAAATGCGAGTTCCTAAAAAAGGAAGTTGCCTTTCTTGGACATATTGTTACACCAGAAGGAATAAGACCAAATCCGGCTAAAATTAAACTTATACTTGACTATCCAGTACCGCGAACTACGAAGGAAATCCGAGGATTTCTAGGCCTCCTTGTATATTACAGGAACAGGAAGAAATTGAACTGATACCAGAATTTTTCAATTGCATTGAAACTTTGAAAAAATTTACTGACAAACCAACCTCTTCTGCAATATCCAGACTTCAACAAGTCTTTTAATCTAACTACTGATGCTAGCAACTATGCAATTGAAGCTATACTTTCCCAAGGACCAATCGGCAGCGATAAGCCCATTTCATAAACTTCCAGGACACTCAACGAAAACAAGTTGAAATATTTTACCAATGAAAAGGAAATGTAAGCCATAATCTGGGCCACCAAGTACTTCAGACCCTACTTGTTTGGGAGAAAGTTCAAGATACTTTCAGATCACCGTCCTATCCAATGGCTTTTTTTCATGAAAGACAATAGTTCCAAAATAGTTTGATTATGAGATAATCTATAAGAAAGGAAAATCAAACACCAATGCAGGTGCTGCTGTGTTTAGAGTCGAAATCCATACCAAAGAAATATCCCAACCACTACAAGACGAAGATAACGCATCTTTGTACAACAATGCAGAATCAATCCTCGACAAAAACAAAGTTCTAGAGAAACCTGCTTCGCAAACGAAGATATAAAAGGTTATCAATGATAATTCAGAAACCATATAAGATAACGAAACTAGACACACCGCTCAGGAAGAACCTATACTCGGCATTCCAATTGGCCAAAGAGCTCTTAACTACTACAATAATTAAATTGTGCTGAAGTCTGCTAATTATAATCCAGCAAAGCCGATAATAGAAGTAGCCTTCCCCAACAAGTCCAGGCTACATGTCCAAGTAGATAAGCATGAATAACTTAGAAGGAAGCTCCATAAAGCCTCTTAAAGGGCTTTTTAAAAACATCCTTTTCCAGGTAAAACCCCTAATTAGCGAAATAGTCATGGTGGTTAGCGTTTCCTATTAGAATTTCTTTGCTGAGGAGGTTAGGATGTTCGAAGAGTTAGTAGCGGTCAGCACTACGAATTTATCATTCTATTTTTCTCGTATTTTGCAAGTTCCTAGTATATGTTGAATGGTTTGGACAGTATTATTATACTGTACAATAACCATACTGATGAGACCTGATATAGGTCGAAACGCGTCTATGGATGGAAAGGCGGAGAAAATCAATCCAAAAAACTTTTCTCAAACAGTGGTACTTTTGGGTTAAACCCAAACGAACTGAATTTTGGTCGGCCTTTGGACGTTCACCATTTAGCACCGCAAAATTGCGTGTAAGTGTTGATTATCGGTCCTAGATGGCGTCAAGATCAAGATTCGCTCTTCGTAATTCTTGCATTTGCCTTTAGGCGAAAAATTGGATTGGTTTTCTTTGCTTTTCCTAGCCATACTGATGAGACCTGATATAGGTCGAAACGCGTCTATGGATGGAAAGGCGGAGAAAATCAATCCAAAAAACTTTTCTCAAAAAGTATTATTAGGATAGCCTCAATTCAGTAGGTATTCCAGCTGTCATTCCATCTTCTGCTGATAATATATTGTTTTCCAGATAATTGACTTCCTTCTCGATCTCAATTTCTTCCTAACCGCTGATATATTCATTTTTATCACTAATAATTATTGGTTTGTGTTCTCAGGTCGAAATCTTGTTTTAAACTCTATGTGCAAAAAAAGCTTTCCACTGCTCAAGCTAGGGCTTCGCGAGACCACAAGACTAGTCTTGGTCTTGTCTTGGTCTTGGTAGCAAGACCAAGACCAAGACCGAGACCAAGACCTGATTAATCTTCTCAAGACCAAGACCAAGACTTGACGTTCAAGACCAAGACCAAGATCAAGACTCTCTCTCAGGACTCTCGTCTTGGTCTTGGTCTTGAAAAAAAAAATCGACTCAATATTTATAAAAATGTGCAAATTCCTATATCTTATCTTAATGTCTATTAATTAAATCAATTCATCAAATTTATTATTTTTTCAAATTCACGAGAAGTTATTATAGGTTTTGAAAATACATACGTACAACGTAGTGTAGGTAACATTCATTTACACAGAACACATCGATATTTTCCTATCCCTACATAATACAATACCTAATTATTGGAATTTCCAAAAATAATTCTCAACTAACTAACTAACCCAAACTAACACAAACCCCACATCTCACCCAAACTAACCCAAATCTAATTGCTGTGAATAGGCCAATAAAATTCAAATGAGGTATGTGAGTGAATATGTGAAGGTTTTCGAAAACCTTTCTCTGGCCTGAATGCTCAGGTAGGTAAGGTAGGTTCAATATATGGTTAAGAATTGATGTTTGTTTGTTCCTCTGTGTTGTGGAATGCTTTATGCGGTATTTTTTTGACAGGAAACGCTCTTGGTGGTAAAAATAGCCTGTGAAGAAGATCAAATGCATGGTCGAAACGCCGGCATATTTTTTTCAGAAAGGGAGGTTTATTTTTTATTTTTGAAGTCCTAAACTCATTATCTCTGCTCTGTCGTTGGATGTTATGTGTATTTTAAAATTTTGGTATGAATTTTTTTCAAGACTATCAAGACCAAGACCAAGACTATCAAGACCAAGACCAAGACTGAGCCAGTCTTTTCTTGGTCTTGAAACATCAAGACCAAGACCAATACCAAAACCGCATTTATTTTTCGAGACCAAGACCAAAACTGGCCGGTCTTGGTCTTGGTCCTGGTCTTGCGAAGCCCTAGCTCAAGCGATTTTGTTCTCGTTCATATTTTCTTTTCCGTCGGTGTTTCTCTTTCAAACTTTGTCGAGAGTTGCCTATACTCCTATTTCGCTTAGAAAGCTCCTTCCTCGTTTCATGTAGCTCTTATCCTTATCATTTTTTCTTTGCTACTTTCCTTCCTGCTTCTGAAAGTCGTTCGTTTAATCCGTTATTAATTCTATGCAGGAATGCCATTCACATCTGATTGTATTATCATGTTTTTTCCAAGTGCTCAAACTTCATAGCTGTTCAGCTGTAGAAATTAGTTGGTTTCTTACCTAGATTACCTAACTAGGCATTGAAATTTTTGTTCAAAATTACTTATATACCTTGTGATCTTTGATCAGCACTGGTCAAAAGGAACACCTGACAATGTTCCATTGTACGGTGTACAATTTCCAATTTTGAAAAAATCCAATGTCTTCCTCGTAACCGGAATTCACGCGCCCTCTTCCGAGGAGCTCATGAAACGTTTCCGATTGATTGTTGGCATTTTCCAGAAGAGCTGTCCAAAATCGATATCTGAATACTCCCAAAATAGCTTGTAATAAGTTATAGATCCTGCCTTGATCCTATTTTTATTGATTTGGTTCTATTTGAAGCAAGTTGTATGGTGTTTTGCTCCTAGATGGGGCACAGCTTTGAAAATTAACATATTATAATTATTGAAGTTGTTTTGTGTTGTGTCTAGTCCCAACTAGTACATGCTTATTGTGACTTGAAAACGAAAAATCTACACATTCACAGTGATTGCCACTTTGAAAATTTTTACCTTGATTACGTTGGCCCGAAACTCTGCAAGTTATTTTATATAATAAAAATGCAAAACAATCTATTTAATTTCGGAGTTGGGACCGAGCAAACTGACAAGAATCTATATAAGGCGCTCGCTTGCGCCTTGTTTATTAAACCACAAAACAAAAAGGATAACGATTTGAATAAGTATCAAGCGTATCTAAAATTTATAAAGGCGCCGCTTTGAATTTAAAATGTTTAATCTCTGAAAGTTCGTGACGCGGCATTTTATTTGCATTTTGAACTTTAATATAAGTTGAGTGTGAAAATTTTGCACGTAAATTGAATACTCGCTATAGGAAATATATAGGTACTTTTCAAGTTTGCGAAAATTGGGTTTCCAGCGACCTTTATAATATAATGCAAAGACTTTTTGTGTATAGATAAAAATTTAATGTAAATAATTCAACAATGATACTGATTTAAATTAAATTTTCCATTAGTGTTGCTATAGTTCCATTCGGAAATGCCCTTGCCTTTGATACCATTAACTTCGCATGTCAAAAACCTCTCGTACATTTTCACTAGGGTATTTTCTCCAACAAAATGAGCTACCGTGGAATCGTACTTAACTTTGCATTCGTAGATGTGATCAGCTGAAAATAAAAATATATATTAGACTCTTGCGTAACGAAAACATCGCCCCACAAAGTTTTTCCGCACTGGATAGAAAAGGCATTTCAAGGACCATTAGGCATGAATGTGTTTGGGTTTTTTTTAGGCCTACCCTCATCAATCCTTGAAAACGAAAGATTCAAAAAACGCTCGGAGTAGGTTAACTTCCGAAATGGCAAAAAAAAATATTACAATAATTTGATTTTATATGAACTCTTAGCCTAAATCCGAACGTAAATAGAATCCTACCTGCCACAAAAGTGAAACACAAATCGTCACTGGGTCGACCGCCTTCGCCGTGTTGCCACAAGAACAAATCGCACGTGTCGATAGTGTCGATTTTCCCATTAGCGTGGACCACGTAGCCCATCTGCATGTGCGAGGACGAGCAAGGCTGCGAGATCACACCCAAAACTATACGGGTTTGATTTTTCAGGTAAAACATGTGAAAAATGTAACGGTGCATCAGGGACCAATCACGTTTTTCGCCTAGAGAAAAAAAAAGTAAATCAAACCAGATTTTATACTATCAGAAATTATATTTCTAAACCTGGGAGGATAATTATAAATAAACATCCTCTGAATGCCAGCAAAAATATCAAAGGGTTATGAAATCTTTTCTACTCTGCTTCTAGGGCAGTCGAACGTATGTTTTAACATGAATTGCAGTAAATTGGATTAATGCCTTGGCCGGTTGAATAACCTCGGCTTTATTAAATTCCAGCCGCGGCACTAAATATTCTATATAGCTTCCTAGTTAAACGAATAATTATTTAACTGTAGTACAATATGCATACATATTGCACACTAATAACAACTGTAATAGTGCTCATAAGGCACGTGAGCTTAAAGCCTCAAGTTAAATTTGTAATCATCTTCCAAAGTTGCCTATATCTATTCCAAAGTCAGAATAAGTCTAGGCTTACAGCTACGGCTTCTGTAAAACGTTGGAACGGCGATGTTTGGACTACGCACTTGTGACTTGCTTCAGAAGCAACGTCGGTTTAACATTGATATAAGCTTGGTAGGTGCAGGACAAAAAAACAAGTTCCTTCTTCAAAAAATTGCCGACGGTTCCATTTATTTTAAGAAAATCAACCCGCACTGCAAACTGGCCTTTTATAATACAAGTTAAGTTAGTTCTGTTTTCACTGGAAATTCCTTGTTTGGGATGTGATCTATGTTATGTTGGTATGACGAAGCAATACTTAAGACATACAGGGACTTAACATACAATACAATCATTTAATTGATATGTATAAGGCGAGCGCAACATATAATCCGCACGATAATTAATATAAAACGGGAAAAAAGAAATAGAGAAGAACAAACAAAATTAAAAATGCCATAGTGGTTACCTATATTAACCTTTGGTCTAAGGCATTTCATAAATTCACGAAGCGAAGAGGAATAAAAAAAAGGAAAATAATATTATTAATATATTCTTGGGTTTCGGCTCCAGTCATACATGTATTGTTAGTGTAAAAACATATGGTCCCGTTTATATTAATTTTAATTTTAATTGTGAGTTTTCTATTTCCTCCATGTATTATGTGTTTTACGATGTTTTTACTTCGTCTTTTACAATGAGTTCCTACTAATGAGAAATAGGTATGTAGGTACTTAATTTAAGATTTGTAGCATCCAAAATTTTGATCAAAAACCATAATAAGATTGCGTCTTATTTTTCAGCCTTGAAATAGTATATTGTGTATTTAGGTGGAAAAGTGACACATTCTCGGCCGACGATGTAAGTTGACGGCAAACACCGAAGGCTGAGAATGTGCTTTTCCACCGAAACACACATACAATTTTTTCTGCGATCGGTTAAGTACCTGTTAAATGTTTGTCTTTTAGTTCCAATTATTCAGCAATACGAGAATCACTTTCCCGGCCTAGGCCGGAAAAGTGTTTACCGTATTGTTATTCATTGATTCCTCAGCAACTATTGAAATATAATTGAAATACCAGAATATTGAGTTTTGCGACCTGTCAACTAGTCAAAAATGCTGACATTTCTTGTCAATCGCAGAAAAAAGATTTAAAATAAATCGAAACGTCGGCAATTTTCCGAAAAAGGAATTTGTTTTTTTGTCCTGCACCTGATAACATCTACCAAGTTCAAATTCATCTTTCGTGGGAAAAGTTTTATTTTTATAGATAGTTAAAATGACCCTAATGAAGTTTACAATCACATGGAGTTCTGCGAACGACCTAATCTGTTCGAGGGTAAAAATCACTTGAAAGACAGAAAAGTATCGAATTTTATAGCTTCAAGACTATTATTGCTGTAACCCGAAATTGACAAAGATATGGGCACAATTTACGTTTTCCTAGATAAACACTAAACTTTAAACTAATCTGTCGACTGAACCAGATCCCATGTGGTTGTAATAATTTATTCAAAGTCAAGGATAATCTTCTGAATACTCACGTTTCATGACGTACCCAGATGTCAGGTAACTGATACCGCTGGAAAGAATTATGTATATTCGAAGCATGTGTGTGTGTAGTGAAGCAATAATTACATGAGCTGGATTTTTATGATACAATACAAATTGTATAACAATATAATTATCAAGGATTATTACTTGGATGAAATGTTAACTGTAAGATAGTCAAATGCCAAGTTATAATTAAGATATAAGTAGGTAGGTTAAGATAGGAGTGATTACTCAGTTATTTTTTATTATTAAATTAATAGAAAATAGTTTAGTTCATTTCATACCCTTGATAATTTGATAAGGTTAGAAATTAGGGAACTTCTATTTTCTTTACTCGACAAGGTTAGAAATTAAGAAATAATAATAGAAAGCATAATAGATAATTAGAAAAGGGAAAGGTTTTCAATTAAAAGGGAAAACATTAAATGTTCAATCAAGAATTTGACCACATGTTACTAACGAACTCTATTGGAGGGCTATCAAACTGGATCACAGGGTGGAGCAATTTGAATGGGGAAGGTTGAATAAACTAGAGAACCAATGGGAAATCAACAAGAAACCAGAGGGAAAAGAGGGTTGGAATTTTTGACTTTGTCGATTCTCGCAAGCCCGGTACTAAGGGGTAGCCAGATTTCTTCTTCTTCTAAAGTAGTACCCGGAGGGTGGTTCCTTTTGCTTATTAAAGCAGATGTTGAGGCCAGTTAACTTCAGTTATCGCCAAGTCGCTACTAGTTTTTACTACTAGTTATCGCCGGAAATTTAAGTCGCAAAGTCTCAATGAGTTCTCGATCCGTTTCTCATCCTTGAGTTCATCTGCCGCCCGGTGTTTAAGTAAAAGCTCTCCAAAGAGGTTACTTTTTTTTTATCTTTAAATAATTAACCTTAACTTTCCTTTTCACTCATAAATAAATTAATTTTAATCTTTCAAAATTACTCTTTTCTTTTCTGGTTCTAAAATTCCCATTAAAACACTGGTGGTGGCATAGAAAGATCTTACATGCCGGTTTGTGCGATTAGAGAAGGTGTTTTCAGCTTCAACAGAAAAGTGGTACTTATTTTGAGTCACTAATAACAGCTTTCAATAAATTTCAAGAAGAGAAGAAAGAAGATTTCGTTCAGATTACCTCCGGTTCAGAAAACTGTTATTTACTGCTTCAGATCAAATTTACTTTTCAGCATAATTTACCATGAAATATTAGGATGCGACAGAATTATCCACGCTACCAAAATATCAATTCTTACATAACATCTCAATTTTGTCACACCACTAAACTATGTTGTTATAAACCCGGATAAAGAAAACGTATTATACTCCCATTGAGATATTGAAAAAGAAACGTGAATTGTAGATCAATATTTCATCTCACAAAAACCAATTTTCGTAAACAAAAGGGTCTCTGTTTGTCCAACAAGAAAGAGACGAAAGTGAACAATGTCATCATGATGAATCGACGAAGGCTCCATTTTCGGTTTATTTCAACAAAAAATATCGCCTCCCGTTTTTAATTAAGAAATCCTGGAAGGTTTACCTACTTACCGAAACTATGATCTCTGAAAGCGTCAAGTTTCAGAGGCACTTCTTTCCCGTCGACTTTGAGTGTTCCCTCGAGAAAACCTTGTTGTTCGTAGTGAGACTGATGTGCCCTAAAAATATTAGATTTTTATAGAAGTAGGTAGTCGATTCAGGGATGCTTGCCCCCGAACATAATTAAATTGTCTAAGATGTACGATGAAAATCTTGAGCAGGGTAAAAACTCGTTTTCCTAATCTATCTGTAAAATTATGGAGAAATGTAAACTACTCGGTTATATGAAGTGAAATACAAGAAATGAAGTGTCTATTTCTTTATCGCGAATACAATGGGAAGTTTCACGCTCAGTTTCATTTTTGAGTATGATAAATGGGTTTAGTAAAGAACTGCAATGATAAGTTGAATTTACTTGGAACGGAAATGAGAGATTATCGCAACAACACAAATGAGTTATGTATTTAATGAACAACTGGAGACAAGTTTGTGTCTAATTCACATTTTTATAAATTTGAAATATCATCAGTGGGGTTTCACATCCGTGCCTATTGAGGGTTCATTTGGATATCAACTTTGTGGAATCTTCAAATAACCCTAACTTTCATGGACTCGACTTTTGATTTTTCCCAATCGAAAGTTGAGGTCAAAATTAGTCCCAAGTCTTACATTTTCTCAAAAAGCAAATTTAAAAAATTGTAAAAAACAATTCTTTTCAGCAATAGAAAATGTTTGATGTCCCGACATAATCTCAAACATTTGCTCATAGTTTCCTTAATTTTTAACGAATCAACTTAAATTATAGATAATTCTGAAAGAAAAATTAATTCTCGATAAGTCCTCCAAATATAAATTCAATTGATTTTATAGGCTTTGAGAAATTGAGCCGCAAAATTAGAATTATGTCAAAATTTCATCTAAAACTTCAAGTTCCAATTGCTCAAAAACCACTGGTAATACAAATATTTTTCAAATGCCATAGTAAAGCATCCAATGAGAGCTACAATCTCAGAAAAATTTGAATTAATAGTAGTCGATACCTATCATGGTTATTCAGATATTACACATTGAAGAATTTTAATTAAAATATCAAAGGGGTATGTACATTTGACACATGTACCTGAGTATTTAAAAAAACCAAATTTTCTATTTTCCACTTTTTTCAAATTCCGATTTTCCCAATCGAAAGTGGAGGTCAAAATTAGTCTAAAACAAGTCTTACATTCTCTAAAATAGCAAATTTAGAAAATTGTAAAAAACCATTCTTTGCAGCAATGGAAAATGTTTGATGTCCTGACATAATTTCAAACATTTGCTTATAGTTTCCGTAATTTTCAATAAATCAACTTACTCAATTTGTTATACTATACGTAAAACGACGATTCCACCTACTATAGCACAATAGAGTAAAAACTTTTGTTTATGACACGAATTTTATTTGAAATCCTTATTTCGACATTTGTTTAATAGGTGCCCAACCTTCATTCAAAATAACGATGCCTGGTTTTGCGAGAAAAAATTGTTCAAAAATGACAACGTTTATGTACCAACATCATCTACTATAATGCGACTATGAACTGATGTATTAAGTTCCCAATGATAGCGTCTGAGGTTTGACTCACTCGTATCCATGTCTAAATGAAAAACTACCCTGAACTGATATGAATGTGTAAATGAGCACCACGGATGCCACTAATACAGACGTTATACCTGTTGCAATATTTCTCTATTTCCATTAACCATTTCATTGTACTACATACTTTATCATAACTTGCTTTTAGAAGAAATGAAACGCTTTTCAATGTCACCAAAAACAATAAAAATGGGATACGATAAAACAGGATTATAAAGCCACGAAATGAGACTAGAAAATGTCTATTTGTTATAGTTTCAGCTGAATGAGAATTTTAAAAATCTTACTCTTTAAGTGTTTGAAAATATTCGTTCGTCCATGGTTCAATAGCGAAAGAGTGAGCCAACATCTTGGCTGGTATATCGGTTTCGTAGATAAACCACGGCAAATCGCTGACGAATTTGGCCTGCATGTCCACTTGCACTAATTTATCATCATTGCCGTGAATCCTATAGGGGAAAAAAACAGTTATTTGTTTGCAATACCGAAGGCCGATTATTATTTGATTTCCATGTCCGAAAGGACCAATTGCCGGTCCAAACTGTGCACAGGCAAACAAATGCAGATTATATTATGTTTTCCTTGACCCTATTCAGATTTTTTTTCTGCCATTGGGAACAATAAAAATTGAAAACGTGATTATGTCTCGTCTGTACGGCGGGATTTCGGTTTTGGTTATTACTATTGCCAATTAACAAAAGGCCTTCGATAACATTGCAACGTTACTAGGAAAATTGGAGTTTTCATTGCCAAGTTATAAAGAAGGCGTAAACGTCACTTTCAGGACGGACATTTAATTTAGTGCTGAAAGGCTATATCATTGGTATCGACAACGATTCAACTCCCCGGGTAGCCTTTTATTAAACACTTCCTGAGGGAAATCCTGTTTGTTTTTTACTTCTTTCTTTTAAACTAGGCACGGCTTTATGTTAACTTAGACGTTGATTAAGCGGAAGGATACTATAGAATGATTAATTCTTGTTGAAGCTAAGCATTAATCCACATCAAAGTGTCATTCAATCTCTGTGAATGAATTCGGTCGTTCATTAAGTCTTGTGAGTGGCTTGACATCTTATTTTCAATCTGTCGTAATAATGTTGCAGTGTCTGAAATTTGTATTCGTTGCATTATTTGATCGAAAAAACATTCTAAAAATCGTGTTGTAAGATAAGTGTTTTCTTTACTGAAGTATAATGGTCTAACAGCTGGCGGTATTTCAGTATAAGGCTCCTATTTTCATCAGACACTTTTCTATACTGATAATAGAAAGGGGGTGCCTGACTACCCGTCGTCACTCGATGCAAGGGCCCCAGAATAAATAAATTGGTATGAACATTGAAAAGAGAAAACTTGTGAGTGAATTATTATCACCAAGTACAAAGTCTTTCTGAATAGTGGGATCAAACTTTTCACAACAATATTTGTATTAGATTTATTATTGATATCAAATGCATTTCAATCAAATAATCATGTAGAATTTTATTATTGAAATTTGTTTGTTATGCATTACTATTAACCATAATCCAAGATGGGTTAACAACCATGTTTACTTTTCAATTTATTTATTTTTTGGGTAAGTGACTTCCTTTACATGGTTTCTCCCCCTGTCAACAGCAAAAGCATTTATTTTAAATTTATACTTTAAATTACTTTAAAAACTAATTGAATGCGAACGAAAAAAGCGTGCCCGGAGAGTCATTATTAAATTGCAGCTTTTGTTTGCGTTTTCAAGGCTACAGTCTTTGTATAACAAAAGAAAACTGGACATTTTTCCAGAGAGATTTTTAATTAAAGTGCCGGGTTTTTCTTGAAATTATAAAGTATTTTACCTCATTTTTCCGCTGTAGCTCAAATCCCACCTTTTCATTGGCTCGACAGGTGTAAATTTGAAACCTTCGGCGGCCCATTCTTTGCCCGACATGATCGCTTCGGGATCTTCGTTTAACTTTGTGTCAGGCAATTTGGGGGTTTTTAATAAACCGAATTCTGGATGCTACAAAAAATATCTATCACTTCTAACAAATTCAACAAAATTCGTTTACTTTGATGTAAATTAATCCATTGATAATTCCTGCTTGACGTCTTTCAGCTCCAGCCACAACATAAACGTCGTCTTGGGACACTGCGTGGAAGAATATCGCGTCAAATGCCTTGAATCAATTTCAAATAAAACTAGGTAATTAAATGTAAAAATTGCAAGATATTTACCAGTGGATGGTTTGATAACGGTCGTCTCCTCTCCAATTGCTTTTCGTCAAAAAAGCCCTCTTTACCATAAATATAATACTGCAATCGTCTAAAAACCAACAGGCCGAGCATTACCGGATATTTGATGAAATACCATTTTCCTGGTTGGCTGTAAACTCCAAAAAGTTTCTTACGGTCTTTTCGGTTGTTGATTAGTAGGATTGACAGAAAAAGCACTAAGGCAGCTGCCAGTAGGTCCATATACATGTTGGAGAATAGTGAAAACTCTGGAATAAATTGTGAATATTTAATAAATGATTGATAATTTTAAATCAAATTTCCTGAATTTTGAAGATTTTTGGTTTTATAATCTTTGATGACCCGTAACAAATTGATAAACAATATACTATTTCATTGATTAGATACTACATACTTTAATATATTTTTTTAGGTTGCCTCATAAATGCATTACAATAATTTTTGAATCCTACTGAAGGAACTATTAATCATTTTTCCAATTAGGCATTCCAATGACCTGGCAAAACTATTCCAAAATGGCGTCGGCTGCGGAAGTTCCTTATCCCGTATACGAAAGTACAGAATTTGAAGCTTTTTAAAGTGCATTGTGTGGTTGTTTTGTGACTGAACAGTATTGTTTTTTTAATTTTATTGTTTTCATAAATGTTTTTCCAATGAAAAAGGATACAACGGTGTCTTGTAGTTGATTGTAGGTGCCTTTTCAACAAGGATGATGTCAAGGTTGTTTTCAGTGCCCACCGTTTTAAACTTTTCCAATTGAAACGTGAAAATTATTTAGTGAAGTATTACCAATATCAATTGAAAATCGCATCTCTATGGTGACTACTCAAAATTAGAAAAAAACTCCTTATAATAATATAAAATAATTTTTAAATTTTTATGCCTAGTCCTGGGTACACTATATCAAAGTCACCGCACGGCGGCAAAAAAACTTGAAAAGTGTCGGCGATGCCGCTGGGCTTTATCGCATGCCGACAAAGCTCAGCCGCTCCTGTTGACAGTGTGAGATATCTCTTTAGAAGTGGACAAAAGTATAAAATTACACAGATAATTGAATAAAAATCGATTTCAAATTTGAATTTTTAATGAAGAAATAATATTCCCATTTAAATATTTATATTTGATTTATTTCAATAGTTTAAAACGGAATTTTAAGGAATACTACTATATGAATTTTGCCCAATTATTTAATTTATTAACTCCCTGTATTCTAGAAGTAAATCAGCTAGAATTTCGGGGCAATGGCGTTCGTCATTTGAGATTTTATAGAAATATCTGGAGTATGTTTATTCTTTATTAACCAATTTGTTTTCATTTGTCATGAAAATAATATTTAGACGCCTATGGAGTTTCAATTAATAATGGTTAAACTTTACCATGTCTGTCTCTGCATCTAAAATGAAGCCATACTCGAAATATTTGTAAGAATCTAAGCTTTCGTAGGCCTTCATTCGCTCATTGCTGTAAAAACCGTAGGTCAAAATGTGTACAAATGTCAATAGTAGACATTTTTTGAGACTAACCGTTCGCCCATGTCCCGATTTTCCTGCATTATAGTTATTTATGATGTAAGTGTTAAAAGTACATTCAATGCAATTCACATAAGTGCCTTAAAAATACTTTTAACACAAATATCATACAATATTTTTTCTACAAACGGCAATAAAAAGCAATAACCAGTAACAAATTGGATTTTAAGAATGAATAATAAATTGGAAGCATCTTTCTTAAAATTATTTTTTACAGGTAATGAAATAAATGTCTTGTCAGTTTCTTGAAAGTCTGTCGTGGTTAGTAGTATTTTTCAGTGCTAAAAACGCAACAAAATACAGAAGGAAAAGAGGGTTGCACCGATTCCTTGAAAAATATAAATGAGGCGGCCAATCGGGCGACCACCTCAGTTGTTCAAATTTTACCATTAATATCATCAAACTAAAGAACAAAGTTTTTTTGACGTTCGCTCTCAAAATTTGATGTTTCATACACTAGTGCTATAAAGACTTCATGGCACTAGTGCTATAAAGACTTCATGGCACTAGTGCGATAAAGTAACATTTTCAATGTTACCCTTGTGTGTTAAAAATTGTATTTTTAACACGTTTGTAGAAAAAAGTCTTTAAATATTCCTTCTGCATGTCGAAAAGTATATTATAACAAAGTAAACTGTAATTAGCTCGAAAATATTCCAAATAAACTCAAGATAAACAAAAAAACGTCAATTTTCCCCCCGGCGCTATATTGAAAAATCACGCGGTTTGGAGCCCAATTCTATTGTAGATCATCATCATCATCAAACAGCCTTTTTTTTGACGTCCATTGTTAAACATAGGCCTTCTCTAAAATTTTCCAGTTGTCTCTGTTCTGAGCCTTCGCGATTTATTTTGATGGGATCCTTTTTAGGTCGTCTGTCCAGCGAGTGGGAGGTCCTTAATTGGAAGCTTGATGCTTGCAGGATTAACAGACAAATTTGAGCCCATGTTTATCGCTATTGAACACGCTGAAATTGACGTAACTGCAGATTCCATTAAATCTAGATTATTGGATATACACCTCAGCTGGTGGTGCCTTTGCGGTAAAGTGTTCAATAGAGGTGGCAGCACAAGGAATGTACAGGGTTATTCACTATATTTTGACCCCCGACCTGAAGGGGTAATTACAGGTGCTACAAAAAAAAAATTATTACAAAAATTGTTTGATTTAAAACAAAGAATTCAAATTTGATATAATTATTTATACAGGGTGTTCCAGTAGCGGTCCACAACTCCTAACCTAAAATTTATGAATGGGACATCCTGTATTTTATTTGATTCTTAGATTCTACGTTCAATTCTAAGACGAATCCTTAAAAGATAGAACTATCTTATCTTTTACCGTTTTCGAGATGAAGGCATTTAGATTTTGTGGAAAAAAAAATGTATCGTGATAAATATGGATTGTATGGAAATTGTTGCATTAGTCCAATTTTCAAGTAACCTACTTATAAATGAAAAAATCTACGACAAAAATAAACGATAAACTACAAAAATTGTTCAAAATGACCTCCATTTTGTTCAATACATAATACATATCTTCGTCTGAGATTTTCCAGCGATCTTAAAACACCATTATTATTTTCCGTGTTCAAGTTTGTTATTTCCTCTCCAGCTTTTGTTTTAATTGCATTATTATTTTCATTATTTTTATTAAACACTTTAGTCTTCAAAAATCCCCATAAAAAACTATCCAAAGGTGTGAGGTCCAGACTATTGGGAGGCCATTTTATAGTCCCTTTATTTCCTATCCAAATAGGAAACTGGGTATTCAAGTAATCCTGAACCTCTGCTACATTGTGCAGTAGGGCGCCATCTTGCTGCCATATCATAGCGTTGATTTCTTCTAACCCAAAGTTTTCATAAATTAAATCAAAAGCTTGAGGAATAATGTTATTTAAATATGTTACTCTTGTTAATGTATCATCATAAAATAAAGGTCCGACTACTTTTCCATTGAAAATTCCACACCAAACTTTCACCGTTTTTCGCCCTTTTTAATTTCGTTGACTTTCCTCTTTCTATGGTTTTTGCTCTCTCATGAGCGTCTATTTTGCTTATTGTGAACTCCAGATGTTGAAAATGATGACTCATCACTCCATACTATCATATTAAAGAAGTCTGGATTTTTATTCAACCTTCGTAACATATCGTAACAAAATTCTAACCTCTTCTGTTTTTGATTGTCTGTAAGTTTTTGAACAGACAAAATTTTATAGGGCTTGTAAGAATACTTAAGTTCTTTGAATTTTTGAATAACTTCTTTGAACTTTCAGTTTCAGAATGCTCTAAAAGAGATAATGATTCAGAGAATAAAAATTATTATGGCAAACTTAAACACTAGTCAATTATTTAAAGTTACTGTTTAACAATAATCAACGTTTAAAGTGACACTTTCGCATGTAAAAATGTCACTTTAAGCGTTGATTATCGTTAAACCTCCCTTAAAATGATCGGTGCGAATAACCAAATGATTATCATTTAAATTATTTACCTTCATAATGAAGCAATATATCCAGATCAGCGTCATTATTATTGATAACATGTCTGGCTCGTCTTTTAAGAGACTATGTATTTTGCAGCTGCCTATAGGTATTCAAAAAAGTGTTGAAGCTTGGGACTGGATGATCGGGATATAATTGTGAATATTCCCTTCTTGCTGCTCTTTTGTTCTTATTATTTTTTACATAAAGGGAAACAAGTTCAAATTTTTCTGCCTCACTGTGTACCATATTGTCAATTAAATAAGAAAATAAATTATTGAAATTAGATATAACCACATACATTGACGTTTGTTGTTGTCATAGTTTACAATAATAAAATTTTTGTTTTTGCATGTCCAACTACCCTGGAATAATCCAAATTCGTCTCAATTTTTTCAAAAAATCTAACCGCCTTTATCTCGAAAACGGAGGAGTTGTGGACCGCTACTGGAACACCATGTATAAATAATTATGCCAAACTCGAATTTTTTGTTTTAAATAAAGCAATTTCTGTAGCACCTGTAATTACCTCTCCAGGTGGGAGGTCAAAATATAGTAAATCACCCTGTATATAAAAATAAAAGTGAGCTCATCTGTTTCAAATGTAAGAAAAAAGGACATTTTATGAACAAGTGTCAAGAAAAACAAAAAAAAAAAGATGATTCATCCAATGCATTCAATGCTGTGTTTTTTACTGGTAGTTTTGACAAGTCGGATTGGTACCATCGTCACTAAAAGTATCTGGGACACAAAATAATGCATAATAATCTGCTGGACTAATTCTACTGTCATTCATTTCAATGCATTTAATTTATAGTTTGACAAATATTTGACAATAAAATTCATATAATAGGACAAGAGCTAATGTGATGCTGTCCCAGTTACTTTTGGTGACGATGGTACGTTGACTCAGGATGCAGTTTTCATTTTACATCACAGAAAGATTGGCTAACAAATGTGAATCCAGAAGTCCAAGTGAAGGAAATTACAGTGGCTAATGACAACAAGCTAGCTATAGAATGTTCAGGTGATATACAAATCACGACAATAGCTAATGATCAGCAACATTCGATCATAGTTTGTAATGCTCTTTACGTACCAAGGCTGAGGACAAACTTATTATCGGTAAGTCAACTAATCAAAAACAAAAACAAAGTTATTTTTCATGCTAATGGTTGTTACATATACAATAACAAAGAGCAGCTGATTGCTACAGCAAGCTTAGTGGACAATGTT